TGTGTGTGTGTGTGTGTGTGTGTGTGTGTGTGTGTGTGTGTATGTGTGTGTGGGAGTGTATATATGCACATACATCTATGTTATTCATACAAATACATTTATCTATTGATACACACACTCACCTGCTTGTATTGTTGCTGTTATGACTGACGAGACTGTGATTCGACGACTGCAGGACCAGAGGACTTGTGTTAATGATCGCATCCGCCACTTTAAGTTTGTCTTCAGGACTCATTGCGTCGCGTGTTGAACTGGTCGGTTGATCTATTTCTATTTCTGTGTTATCCCGTTTATCCTCTCCCTCGCTTTCATTCCGGACATGCGCACCCGTATGCGCTTCAGTGTGGTTAACATCAGACTCTTTTACGTTCTCTTTCTCTGCGTGTACGTTTTGGTTGTCGGGAGTGTATGTGGCGTGTTCACTACCTGCGCCATCCGGTACAGTGCCAGGCTCTTCAAATACGTTTTCTTTCGCATCCGGTACATTTACCCCATTTTCAGCAACGTTCGTTTCTTTGTGCGCCTTCTCCCCAACCACACCGGCTTCACTGCCGTCCAACACCCGTTGCTTAGCAACCGACTTCCCCTCCTCTACATCCCCTGCATTCTCTCCATGGGCCTCATTTCCCGCACCCTGGCCATTCACACCACCCGGGTCGTTGGCTCCCGCTGTTTCGCCAGCCATAGCCTTATTCGTATTCGTATCTGCCCTATCCTTTCCCACAGCCACTCCATTCGTCAGCTTCGCGCTCGTCTCCTCCGCCGTCGCCCCAGTCCCATTTTCTGGCCCAGTCCCATTCTCCATCTCAGGTGCAGGTGCAGGTGCAGGCTCAGGCTCATCCCCATCCTGCCCCGGGCTTAACTCCAGGCCATTTGCGGCGGAGTTCTCAATGGAGGTGTCTCCAGTGGCCGGTTCTAAGCTGAAGCCACTGCTGTCCTCTTTGCTCTTGCTCGAGAGTAGACCCTCTGCATCGGTCAGGTCTGTCCTACTCCGCACATCTCCCGTGGTCGACTTGTCGCCCGTGTCCATGCCTATAAATAGAATGGAGTTCGAGATAAAAATAGAATGGAGTTGAGGATAAAAATAGAATGGGGTATGATACGTTTGAGTGGCGTTTGAATAGACCTGTGTCTGGGATGTAAATAAGATTGAGCTTGAGATATATATAGATCTGATTCGCTGGCTCCGCACACTTCTAGAACGGGAGATAAACATACATACAACATACCTACGTACAAATATGCATACATTCATATATACATACATATACACACAAGTGTAACATACATACAACATACCTATGTACAAACATGCACACATTCATACATACATACATATACACACAAGTGTGTGTATTTACTGGAATTGGCAGTTTTTACAGTCGCACTGCAAGGCAATACACATCCATCGCTTATGTGTACTGAGCACACAACTCAGAACTCTCCTGCCCTTGTCATATACATACTTATACCCCAGCACAAATATATCATACAAACGACACATATACATATACAATACAGTGGAAATCATCATAAACTCCAACTTATCTCGTTCACATTTGTCCCCGATAGCGCGTTTTGGACCGGTCCTATTTTCTCTTAGACAGAGACTGCGCAGGTATACAGTCTGTGTCTGGCAAAGACTAACCAACCAACTAGTACTTATTATGTATATCCATAAACACACCTCAAAGCTAACTTAATATACATACCAGCTCATATACATCATAATATACATACCAGCACATATACATAACGAATACTACATTCAGACGTATATCCCCTCCCCCAATTTCAGACACATACTTATCCCCGACGTCAGCGTTCGCAACGGTTCCTTCTCTTCCTCTGGTAGCAACTGGGCAGCCGTAAAGTCTGTGCCTGGCGAAGACTGGCTGTTGCTGATGCTCGCATTTCCGTCCCGATATACACTACTGTCGTACCGCTTTATGTTTGCCAACTGCGTATGTGCGCTGTGGCTGTGGCTGTCCATGTCTCTGGAGCCATCGTGGCCGTTGGGCTGTGAGATGCTGTTGTGGATGTGAGGAAATAAGGGAATTGTTATATATGTGAGGAAATAACGTTGAGTGGAATGTGTGACGAAATAAAGGCGCATGACGTGTGTGAGGACATTAGGATGGGTGATGAGAGATGGACATATAGAGACATCGCGGCGTTCTTTTATTGAGATATGTGGTAGAGAAAAGTGCCGGAGTGTTGTTGGTAAACGGGTTGTAGAAAGTAAAAACAAGGGAAGTGTAACTAAGTACAATAAGCATGTCACAAAAATGCACGTCACATAATCTGCAGCAACGCCAGCATTATATTATGTAGAAAATAAGGCAATCTACTGAGACATTCAGGGCGCGAGTTGTCGTACACATCGTCCATCGTGACATGATTGCATATAGAAGCGATATAATTAATAATATGCCAAAGCAGATGTGTATATTCAATGATATATCATTGTATATATA